TGCAGTGTCCCTCTAATAGGCTGCCATTTAATTTTTCTCTCTCTTTTCCATATTCATGTTTTTAACAGGCCTACATCTCTTGCTGTCATTGTATGAGGTGACAGTAAGGTCCTCTGAAAATGAGCCAAATTAACAAATTGTCCACAGAACAGAGGAGGTCAGTCATCATTGGAGGAAACCAAGAGATTATAAATACCTTTACTGGGTATGGTGCCAGCTGGTCTGGGAGCAGGTAGTGAGCAGTGATGTAGAGACAGGGCTGGGAGGTAATTGTGTTCAGTCCTTGGAAACTTAGTATCATAGTCCTGCATAGTCCATTTGGACAATGGCTGCATGAAGAGGAGGGAAGTTGTCCAGCCATGCTCATAGGTGACCTCTGCTTCGAGAGAGAGGGTGTCTGGCTATGTGGACCCTGCTCTAGGGTTTCCTGGCACAAGTCATGCCCAGAGCAAATGGGCAAGAGTGAGTTTTCTTTGCTGGTAATCCTAAAGTCCACATACACTAGATAAATTTCTAATGATTTGGCTACTGTGTACTTAGCCCTCAAGAAGAAAGAGCCCTTGCTGGAATATTCTATCCACCAATGTGACGCAGGTGGCCCAGCTGACTCTCAGCTGACATAACACAGGTAGGTGGTGTGACGAGAAGGGAAACCATACATCTTGCAGAAGTCTGTCTCTACCATTAGACATTGAGCTTCCTTTTTGCCCTCCCACATCAGCATTGGCTTCTGACCCAAGCTTATTAAAGAAGGAGAAGGGAGATGCCTGAAGACACATGTGTGCTTGAGAGTTGTTCTGTCTACCTCGAGCCACTGGGCAGCCTCTTGCTTTGCTTGCCACTCCAGTTAGAGGGGGTTGGAGCCATTGCTGTGAGTAGGAAGAGGGACAGCAAGCGGTCACTTATGATGGTGTGTTGAAGCACTGGTTGTTGCATTTACTTTTAATTACTTGTTATACTGCCCATGTGACAAATATCATCCCGGGCATTTTGACCATGTTGTTCTCCCTTGGTCTCCACAAATCTGTGGGGAACGCATTTCCAGTTTTGACAGTTGAGGAAACTGAGGCAGAGAGAAATGGAGAGACATCCTCAAGGCCCCATAGCAAGTAACTGGCAACTGGAATGACTCCAACTGCATTTTCCTATTAGCTGCATCACAGCTACTATCCACATGGTCACATCTGGATGCTATCCAGATCCCAATGTTTAGTGATAGACACCTTTCAAAGCAGTAAGGGAAAAAATTGAAAATAGATTGAAACCTGATTATCTCAAGAAAGTTGATAATTCACCCAAGAAGTATTTTCAGAGGGTCATGGGATAAAACGGTCACCTTAAAGGATATAACCTATGTCAGACATGGCCTTCATGTTTAGCAGATCATTCAGCATCAGAGCTGAAAGGACCTTTGGGAATTGTCTGCTCCAAACTCCTCATTTTGTACATGAGGACGCCAGGGAGACGAGGGGCTACCCACGATGGTGTGGTGGGAAAGGGAGTACATGTGGCTGATCATAAAGGAAAGACTTCAGGGTGTGGTTGGGGAATAGAGGTGTAGAGAGAGGGATGAGTCAGACTTAGGGTTGGGGATGATGCCATTGACAGAAACAAGAAGGGGTAGAGGGGTGCAGAAAGGTGTAAAGGGGATTTGTTTCTGAAGAATTGAACTTGGAAAGTTAAGCAAAGGAAACTCCAGGTGAGGACTTAAAGGACATGACTATGTCCCGGAGTCTAACAAGTGGGATCCCCCAATGAGAGCCCTGGCAGTGGGGCCAGACACCCAAGACAGGGCTCTGTCATGCTCGACGGTGTTATTAACCACTTAGACAAAGGCAGGGAAGGGCTGTTTGTCACGTCTACTGTCCATGCAAAGCTAAATGCCACAGATGTCAGAATCAGCAGGTAAAATAGCCAAAATAACTGGAAAGAAGAACTGAAACTAACTTGAAATCTATCAAGGATCAATGTAAATCAATGTTTATGTTCAGAATATCAATCGTACACCTACAGAATTAATAAGAATAACAAAAAATCATCTTAACTCAGTACAGTTTTTAATCTAATAATCACCATATGCAAGGGTTGCTGTGCCAGTTGTTTATTTAATTCTTACGGTAGTCTTATGAGATCAGTACTGTTATTATCTCTGTCTTAACAGCTGAAAAACCAGGACCAGAGAGATTAAGTAAATTTGCCTGAAGTCACGCGTATGATAGCTTTGCTGAAAACTACCATACTCTTTAACCAATAAGCTAAGGGTTGAGGAGACTTGACTACATTGTGTTAAAAACTTTTTCCACTTGTAAAAAAATAAGCGAGTATGTGTGTCTGTGAGTTCATCAAAGAAAAATACGCAGGCATAGATGATGAGTCCATGGATGGTTAAGAAAAATATAAAATTTCCTTTTCAAATTTGCTCTATTAACATGAAGAGATATATTCAACACAGCTCAACACTATAAATGTCTACCAAGAAACTTTTGTGGTTACGGGAATGTGTACTGTGGAAAGATTGAGAACCTAAATCTCAGCTGGTTTTCTGAGATTTCCACTACCTTATAAAATCCAGAGGGAGATTATGGTTAAGAATCTACTGAGAGTTTATGGATCCCTGCTCACAGAGAAACCTACTCGTGTGATGCCTCAATGAAGAAAAAAAGGGAGACTCTGTGCTCATACATTCCTGTGGTCACATACAACTTAGCTGCCTCGCATTTCTCAATTCTTCCACAGCAGAAATTCTCAGGCCGAGTACCCATCCCTAACTGTGTCCATCTGAGAATGTTGTCCTTTATCATGAGAAGTCCCTGTTTCTATCCAATCCCATCTGCCCTACATTCCTCGGTGGACTTCCCTCCACCCTCCTTGTCAGCCCCTCTGCCTCCAGTCTCTTATCAGCCTTGGTAATATGCCCATTGGACCAGGAGTGTCCCCCCTGTGGACACCCATTATGTATTTTTTTATGGCTAATAGTTTGAGTAAATTCTCATATAAGCTTTGCTAAACCCAAGAGCATAAACACAGCTCTTCACTCAGGTTGTCATCCGGTGCTAAATAATTGCACAGCCTTCTGACTGGTGTTAAACAGCCAGGACAGAGGATACAAACCACAGAGATGGAGTATTTCATCTACCCTCTTCTCACTATCTAATTATAGGAAAGATTTAAGATGGTGCTTTAAATCCATCATGTTTACAATCTCATTTCTTTGAAAAGTTCCATGTCGAGACTGCACATTTTACCAACCCAGGCTAATTCTGAAAGACAACTGAGTAATCAAGTGGAAAAAAAAAATTTCTTCTGCCTAAGCAGATGAGTGTAATGTCTGATTACCCAAAATGTAATTCTGGCTTTCCACACACTATAATCTGCGCTGCAGATTGCCGTCAACTGCCCCGTGATCAAGTTGGACTTAGTCCCAAAGGGAGGGATCATAAAATGATTTAGGGTCAATGTCTTTCTTAAATTCCCATTCAGAGTTTTTGAAAGACATTCTAAGGTTTAATATAGCTGAAGGTTATGGCTTTAGACTCCCTTGCTCATTTGAGAGAAGCCTTAATGTCCACTCTTTGTTAGTTTCTTTGGCATGTCTTTCCCCTCATTTTTCCTTTTCATTCCCACCACTGCACCCTAAACCCAAACTGACAAGGCTGGCTGCTTGGCTTACTCACCTGTTTCCCTCCTAGTGAGTATCCCTGCCTCCAGAGTCCCACCCTGCTGGCCTCCAGGAAGCCTGCTGGTCTGACATGTCCAGTGTGTAAATCCTTCTCTAACACCCTGTGTTTAAAGCCCTCATTATCCTTGGTGACCAGCCCCACCTTATCGGAACAGTCTGGTCCCACATGCTCAACACTCCAGCTTCTGTCGGGTGGGAAACTCCTCACCATCCCACAAATAAATGGTACCTTAGTGCAGGTCCAAGCATCAGCTTCCCACACATGATCCTTTCCCCCTCGTTCTTCAACTACTTTTATCTTCCCACCTCTCAGAAGCTTAGTATCTTCCCCACAAAACCTTTTCCAGCTACTCCGATTCTCTTCTTATACTCATTTAAGTCACTAATTCCACTGCTTTAACTACCCTCCGTCTATGAAGGTTTAACAACTTGAGACCAGCTGGAACTCAGGTACCTTGTGGTCCCATCAGCACAAGTCCTAACAGCCGCCCTTGACTACACACTCCGGAAATGGCAGCCTGCGGCCAACGCTCCCCAGTTCCCGGATCAGCAGTTGTTTCAAAGGTGTGTTTACCAAGCACCTGCCAGGTATAAGACCCGTATTCTAACTGTCAAAAGCTGTGCCTCTGCCAATTCCAGATTAATTTCTCTCACATTTTGTCTTGAAAACTAATTCTCTAGTTCCTTACAATTTGTATCACATCACCCCATGAAAAACGGAAGTTCAGATGGTAGTTGGAATAGAAAACACTCACTGAATATTTAAAAATTCCAATGTCCCAAAGTCATGATGCCATGAAAGCTCAGAGGAGTTTCCTGATTCTTGCTCTTTGGGTCAATTCTTTCTAAAAGACATTTATATTGATATGAGGACAATGGAAAATCAGATCTGATTTCCCCAATTCACTAGTGATAATCACCCAAAATAATCAGAGACAATAAAACCACAACGAATGATTATGACCATGTTCAAGTAGGAACCCCCAATGGTTCTCAAATGGTTGAGAACTCAATTTGTTGTATTCAGACTCTGAAAGCTTCCCTTGGGTAGAATCTAAGCTTTTCCCTTTTCTGTTTTTATTGCCCCTCCAAAGCTTTACCTTTTAATCTATTACTGGCAAAAGCCAGTCAGAATAAGCGCACTTGCTCCCATATATTTCCCTAAAAACCCAGTCCACTTCCTTGCAGTAATTGTCATCCATTGCAGTGGAACTAGCAAAGTACTCCAGGATATTTCAGTATTTCTGAGATGCAGTAGATCATCGAAGGAAAAAAAAAGAGAGAGAGAGAGAGAAGAAGTATTGAATGGGGAAAACCTTACCTCAACTTCTGACTGGCAGGGACAGTTATTTTGTTAAGCTTGTCCATTCTTTCTCGCAATCCCAAGAGGCACGGTGACCGTTCAGTGGCGAGGTCAGTAGTCCCTGACCCTCCGGGGCAGCACTTGCATGGTAAGCCTTGGGTGCCAAGGGTCCCAGGCGCCTGAGTCTAATTTCCGAGGTGCAGGCTGCTGGCAAACACCCCTGCGCTAGGGAGAAGTAAAACTTGCTCGAGCACATAGTCAAGTTTCATGTTTCTACATAATCATGTGATCTGGGTAGCCAGCCAGCTCGCTGATTACTCCACATTGTGTAAACTTTAATAGTGAAACCTATTGGACATGCACATTTCTTCCCAGCTGCTTTCTTTTATAAGATCTGTAACCAGGTCAGGGCAAGCTTCTAGCTGGTCACTACTTCCTGTTGTCCTAGTTACATTCAGTCCCTGCTTTCAGTAGGTGTTGTGCTGTCCCCAGCAGCTTCTTGGGCTCAAGGAAAAGTGGAAAAATCAGTTCCATCTGAATGTTTCTGTGGGACTTTCTGCTCATTTGCATAAAGTCATGGATAAGCTTTTCCACTTAAAGAAACATGATATGAAAATGACATTTTTGTTTCATTCTCCTCTCTCCTCTTCCCAAATCTGTTTTAAAATAAACATCGGGGCGGTAATAACACAGTTTACTGGGAGATAATAACTCTCCTTTGCTGAAGATCTCTTTAAAATGGAATAGATAGTTCTCTCAGCAAGGGGGTTTAGGGGTAGAGAGAGATGAGTGCTCTGGTTTAGGGGAGATGATCTCCATCATAAGAGGAGGCCTGCTTATTGGGCTGATGGAGTCAGGAGATAAACTTGTAGTGAGATGTTTCAAATAAAATCAGGATGTCCCTCCCAAAGTCAGCTGCAATTAAATCTCACAATCTCCCAACAATGCCTTTCTGACATTAGGCCATTTAGAAGTCCCCCCAAAAGTAGTGCATCTCTGTACCCACTGCCTCTGTCCCCTCCTGTCCTCATCTACAGCTCTGTCATCCTCAGCAGGCTTAGTGACATGCCAGACCTGGGAGCATGAAGGGGATGCCAAGCACAGCCAGATGGGGCGAGGAAGAGGGAGCCCACCCAGACAGACCCACTTCCCTCCTGGAAGGCTTGACATCTCCTTTCACCTATTCTGAAAACCGCTGATGTGTCTGCCATCTAGAGAGCAGAAGGCAGTCTGGGGTTTGGGAGGAGGGACACAAGAGGGACCATTCCATTTGTAGCTGGACACACTTCCCCGGGGCCAGCAGGAATGCCCTGCTCACCCTACTGAAGTAAGGTGCACGTCTCTCATCCTTATCAGCTGGCTGGTCCTCTCCTGGGTCTGAAGAACAGAGAAGACAAAGCAGAGGGATGCCCGACGCCACTCCTGCTCTAGAGCAAGGTCTGGCTGAGGGGAGAGGGGAAAGACATGAAGTGATAAAAGTAGTTGGAGGAGGAAGGTGAAGGAAGTAGGGGGAGGAGGGGAAAAAGCCACAGCTGCAGTAGCAGAGGGGGAGGCAGTGGATGGATTTCCCCTTGTTCCTCTGCACACACGGAGGCTCTGTATTTCCTCAGGTAAATCTTGATTATTCACCACTGTGCGCTGCCTACGAATTTCTGGCTTGACCAGATATTCAGGAGAAGAATCCTCAAAACTATCAAAGGTTGGGACCCACTCACTTGGCAGGCCACCGAGAGAGAAATCATTTATGAGAAAAAGGCCAGCATTTGACCCCTCCAGTGGTTTACTCGCCCTCCGGCCCCACCCCAGTCAAGCAGCAGGTCCCCATAGCTGGACCAGGGTGGTGGAGGCATGGACAACGGCGCCGAGGGTCAGGACTACTAAGCTTCACCCAGGGAGAGAGTCACTGGCAGCCGGTTCCTTCTGTAAAGTGCTCCCCAACTGCTGGAATCTTCTCTCGACCAACAACTCTGCTCAACACCTGGGCTGGCAGCTACTTATTTCCCCAGAGAAAAAGACCAGGGGCAAGAGTTACACTTCTGCTTTTTCTTTTTACAGCCACTTGTCTTTCTTCTTTTTACTGTATTTGGTCTGACATGATGAAAATGAGAGTCTGCTTTTCCAGCCTGGACATTTGGGCCATGTGCCGTGTCGCTTGCCAGCTGCCCTGCAGCTCTCCCCGGCTCCCCGAGGCCAGCGCCAGTGTGGAAACTGAGGACAGTGAGTGTTACCTGAGGACTTCTGAATGAACGGAGTCCACCTAATAGCGAGAACAACTCTGCAATAGACTTGGAAATTAATTCACCACTAGACTAGCAGATGGGAAAAGGATAATCCCAACCTGACAGGACATTTGGAACTTCTACACACAGTGATAAAAATATAAGTGGATGTAATCATTTTGGAAACAGTTTGATATTACATGATATATTTGATGACAAAGAAACCTACAACCCACTGTGCGTCATTGGCCTGACAAAACATTAAGTATAATGTTTTGTAGTATATTGTGCATCCACCAAGGCCATGGTCAAGAATCGTGACCGAAGTGTCATTTCTAGCAGAAGATAAGACAACACTGAGAATAGACCAGTTAAGACCAACACTGAGAATAGATCAACAGGAAAGTAAATAAATCGTGGCATATTCTTGCAATGATATTCTGATCAAGAGCGACTATGGAATTCTATTAAAAAAAAACCCAAAAACTACAGGGCCTCCCTGATGGCACGGGGGGTTAAGACACAACTTATAAAGCTGTCTGTAGCCACTGCAGCATGAGTTTGATCCCCGACCAGGGAGCAACCCACATGGCACAGCAGACCTCTCCTGACTCACCCGCTTCTCCGCTCAGCAGTGTATTTCAGTCAGTCTGCCTGTTCTGTTCCCCGCTCTGTCTCTGGTGAATCCTCTCACCTCCCAGAGCTCTGGCCTGTACCCCAATTCTTGTGTATATAAATAAATCTTAAAAAAAAACACTGCAGGTCTATCAGTATGGATAAATGAAAATAATTTGAACAATAAAAGCAATTTAAGATCATACAGCATAATTCTGGTTGTATTAAGGTTAGAGTCACATAATATTAAATAATATAGTATATAGGACTCACCCACATATGACAAAACCAAAGAAAGCAGGATAAATGTAAAATTGAGGAGAGTGCGATTGGAGCAAAGGAACCCACAGGGCTTCAAACACCGAGGTAGTTTCCCATTTCTGAAGTTGAGTTTTGGGGCTCTAGGTACTGAATGTAGGTATTAAATATTTAACAAAAATAAATAAAATAAGATCCGGCCTAGAACTATGGAGCAAGGCCGGGGCAGCCTGCCTGTCTCAGTTAAAGCTGAGATGGCAAAATCTGAAAACAAGAAGACATTATATTATACTAAGGCCTGATGATGAAACTCTGGTTTCCCTTGAGCTCTCTCCCTTGCTTCTATGGATGACAACAAAGAGGAACACACTCATCAAATGTGTTCCTTATGCTTGTGCTATGATGACATTCATTTCACATATATAAAAAAACCTGAGGAGGCAACGTGTGGTGTGGGTACTATACAGTGTGGGCCTATGGTTCTAGCATAATCTGCTCTCGTGATGCTCAGCCTCATGACCACTCTGTGGGGGTTACTATTACTCCCATTTTATGATGCAAACTCTGTGCTTCAAAAGGCTGCTAACATGATTTACCTAAGACACCCCCCACCCCCGCCAGTCTCGTGACTCCTCAAACCATTCCTTTTTGGAGGTGGAGGTGAGGGTTGGGGGTATGACCTGCAGGAGCAGTGGCCCTGGCAGTTTTCTCACACATATCGGCCAAATGAGCAGCATCTTGCTGTTGCTCAAGCCCATGTCTGGTTTTCTGACCAGGACCAGTTAAGTGCCCAGAGAAAGGAAGATTTGAGAAGAAGTTAAGAAGTCTGAGCAGGGCCTCCCCAGTGGCGCAGCGGTTGAGCGCTGGGTTGCGAAGCTGCCCGCAGACTCTGCAGCGCCGGTTCAATCCCCAGCAGCTGGGTGAGGGTCCCACATGGTGCGCAGACCTCTCCTGCTGCCCGCTGCTGCTCCCCTCAGCAGTGTATTTCGTCAGTCTGCCTGCTCTGCTCTCCTCTCTGGCTCTGGTGAATTCTCTCACCCTCCTGCACTTCTGACTGTACCCAGTGCATGTATAAACAAATAAATCTTAAAAAAAAAAAAAAGAAGTCTGAGCAAACCAGATGAAGAAAATAGCAGAAGAGGTCAGGGAAAGGTAGAGAGAGAAAAGGAAGTGTGGTAGAGGCTGGTAACATCTGTCTGTCCTCCTGCTTTGTTGATGGTGAGGGACAAGAGCAGAGAAAAAAGGAAGGAGAGAACCCATCTGTGACTTGAGCAAATAGACAATCTCTTTTAAGCTCAAGGCTTCATTTTCTGTGAGACGAGTCATTTTCATATTTTATCTCTTCAGTAAATTAATTCAACATTCTGCATATCGAATTGTCCTGGAGTGTGGCATTTGTATTATAAGAGTTGCTTAGAAGAAACAGCCTTTACTCCTTTGTGGGTTCCTTCCTATGAGCTGGCCACTCATGCGCAGTTGTGACCTATTTGTTATCTGCAAATCACAGCAGAGCATTCCTTGACTGCCTATGGAGTATAGTCCATATCCCGAGGCAGGCCCAAGATTGCCTAGGCCACTGTTGATCTGAATACGTGACTATCTCCATGGAGGTCTCAGGATGACTCTGCCAGTGATAACATCATACTTTGCTGACACAAATGTCTCTTGACGTATGGTCATGATGATCCCTTCCCTGTCTCTTGTAAAACTTTCTCCCCCATTCCTATCCCATCCTCTGGACCCTATTCCTCATACCATCGTCGCATCATCAGCTTTTACTAGCCTGTGTGCTTTCAATAAATGGCACAAGAACTTCTGCTCAAGTAGCAGAGTCTTGCCTTGCAAACCTGCTCCAGGACTGCTGTGTTTTTCATGGTGAAACAAAGTTTCAAAGTGGCAACAAATTTCCTGTGGCCACACTCCTTGTTTCAGTCCAAGTCCCTGGTTGACAAAAACAGTACAATGGCCTATTGTTGGAACAGTCAAATCCTGGCTGAGCTATCATCTCTGCCCTTGCCTTTAGTCCTCAGAGCCAACCTGCCAACAAGATTCTTCTGTGTGGTATTTCCACCATCACCCTGCTGCCATTCCACCCAGCCCTCGCCTGAATCACTGCTCAACTTCTGGAGCTCAGTCCCAGCCATGTCCCCAACTGCTGGCTGTCCTTAAAGACATCTGAAGCTTTTCCTTGATCTGAATATTAGATGAGGTTAGGGAACTGTCAACTTTCTTAAGTATGATCAGTATATTGTGGTCATGTAGAAGATCCTTATTAGGACATTTTGGAGGAGGTGTAGGCTGATAAATTTAAAGTTTAAGTGTCTTGATATCTACAACTTTCTTTCAACTGGTTTAGAAAAAAGCATCAACAGTGGTTGAGGCTGGGTGATGGATATACAGATGT